AAGAAGCTACGCGACGAGCTCTTTGCGGCGATTCCCAATGTCGACCAAATCATCCCCCTTGCACAGCTCGAGAGCCTGCCGTACCTGCGCGCCGTCGTCAAGGAGGCCCTGCGCCACGGCATCGGCACGAGCGGCCGCCTGTCCCGCATCGCGCCCGACGAGTCGTTTGACGTGGCCGATCCCAACACCGGCAAGTCGTACCACATACCGGCCGGCACCATCGTCAGCATGAGCCCGTACCGCACCATCATGGACGAGACCATCTTCAGCGACCCGCTCGGTTTCCACCCCGAGCGCTGGCTCGCCGAGGACGAGCGGCTGGACGGGTACCTGATCATGTTTGGCGGCGGCACGCGCGTCTGCCTCGGCCAGGCGCTCGCGCAGGCCGAGCTGCACCTCATGCTGGCCAAGCTCTTTCGGCGCTGGGGCAGCGCGGGCGTGGTGGGCGGAGACGAGACGGGCGACAGGCGCGAGGGTGACGTGGGTGTGTTGAAGATTTTCGAAACGACGCCAAGAGATTGTCAGATGGCGTCGGATTACTTCATCCCATTGCCTTACAAGGTATGTGGCCGGACCGTGGATCGAGGGCTATGCTAACGGTGTTTTATAGGGTAGCAAGGGTTTGCGTTTTCTTTTGGAAGCAGTTTGATTGGCATAGCGGGTGATCCTTTGAGGGTACAACCATTGAACCCATGAATCCATGGCCCAAGTCACGGCACCGTGCGTATTAGTAGCTCTAGTTACGAATACAGTCTCTACTGGCAATCTAGCCTGTGCGCTCTCCAGTCGGACTTGGTCAATCACCAGCAGCAGCGTGTCTCAGGCTCCCATCACACTGGTTCTCCACGGAGGAACCAGTCCGTCCCAATTTTATTATTCTCGCGCCAAATTGCAACTCAATACTGTGCCTGGCAACCCCGGATCTACTGGCGGCCTTTCACACCCAACAGGTCGACGGCTGTATGACGAGTCAATTGAGCAAGCTAGGGGGTTAGTTTTCTCCCTTTGCCAATCCGAGTGCTCCATTAACGGCCAGCAACTGCCGTAATTGTCTCTGCCACCCCAGGCCAACTTGCTGGGCAAAAGGCGCTAACCAGTTGTAGGCGAAAAAGAACAAACGAACAAAGAACAAAGAGCAAGTGGAAAGCTGCTAGATCGTCAGGAATGATAAGGCTGGAAGCCACTAGCCACCAACTAGCTGGTCAAGAAGCTGTTGGGCCGAGAAGCACCAATTGGTTGAGGAAGAAATGAACAAGAGGACGAGATGGTCACCATCGGGTCAGGAATGACGAGCCGGACATGGCACAGCCAGAAAGCTACAAATGAACGTAGTTAGCGCGTCAAGAAGGATAGGAATAGAAGGCGCCAAATGAGTCGAGCACAAAGGAAAAGTGGACAGGCTGAACGCCGAAGTGTGGTGCTGGTGAAAAGAAGGGAACAGCCAGAAGGCCACCAGCGCATCAGCCAAAGCTGATGCCTAATTAGGTAATTCGTATAAAACCACCCTTGGGGCAGCCATTCCCGCAAGACCTCCGAGGTAATCCAATTCTTCTGTATCATCTCCGCCTTGTGTCATCGCCAAGCCCGTTGCGCTTGTCAGTGATGAGCTCACTGCCGTCAGAGAACACGCGCTCCGGTTCTGCGCTCATAGCCGGCGTGCTGAAAACATTAAGAGCAAGTTTGCTAAGGATAGGCCAAGTATGTCGTTGATCCACCTACCACGCTAAAGGATTCTAAACGCTCGTGTCATCCTTCGACGGCACTTGCTTCATCCATATTTCCCACTCTGTCTCTACCTTTCTCCTCTTGCCGCGGCGTGGCCGATCTGTTGTATAGCCCCAAGCGTCGAATTCGTCGTCGATTGTCGGTGAGGAAGGAGGTGGTGTCCCCACCCGGTCGACATGCTCGGTGGCCACCGTGACTGCTGCCAACCGGTTGTAATACAAGGTCAGGTCCCTCTCAGCGGCCTTTATCCAGTCCTCCCGTTTCCACCATTTCTCCCGGAAGTATTCAAATTGGTACGCTGGGTGGAGAGCGCTAGCCATACGGTAGATCGGCCCTGTGCTAGTAAACAGGTATAATCAAAGCCGTCTTGCTGGTATAGGCACCGATGCAGAATCATGTCTTTGGCGCCCTGGGCAGTTTATGAATAGACAGATCAATGAATAAAAGGCGATATTAATATGCAGCTCTAGCACTTTGTCTGCTCGTGATAAGTACCTAAGCAGGTGCGAAATGGCACTTTACTATTCTAGAACTGTTATACCGCAGCTACGGCCGCAGTGTTGCCATTAAATATATGAACTGGCAGTGCCGCTTTCCCGAGTTTCAGGGCTAAAATCCTTAGGCGTCCGTCTAATAGCTCGAAGATAGACCATTTCCTGGAGCCATTAGCTTCGCATTCGATCAAAATGACTTTAGCGAGCGTACCATGTTAATGCGAGTCGAAAATGGCAATCCTTAGTTAAGCAGTGGTCGTAGTGCCAATGTTGTCGGCGCACTAATACGTAAAAGTCCGCGCCGTAACGACGGCTTAGTTGTTCGCATCTTCTCATTACGCGATACGTCGCTTTGGCAAAGTTCTCGCCTGTTCTATCACGCTGCGATTGCGGAGTTGTCATTGTTAAAGTTTGGTCTAGGGATCTCGGTAGTGAAATACTGGCATGTTGGAGCTATTATATCTTGAGCATCCAGATTGGCTGTCTAGAGGCAAGGCGGCTGTGGAAGAATTATGGCACGAGTATAGGAACCTCTGCGTCGAGCAAGATACGATTCCCGAACAGCCGACCGTGGCAAGGAGATCAACGGAGTTAGACGATTTCATGTCCTCGGTGAGGAAGCTCAGCACGCAGCCTGCACCATCAACTTCTGCCAGACGTGACGAGTATGCGGAGTGGGTAGCTACGACCGACCCGGGAGATTGCCTAGTGGACGACCCTATTCAGTACTGGCTTCATCGTTGTCGCCAGTACCCGCGGCTGTCAAGGATGGCTATTGACCTATTCTCGGTGCCAGCTATGTCCTCCGAGCCAGAGCGCATTTTTGATCTAGCAGGGCAGAAGGTTACTACGCAGAGAGGACGGCTTAAAGCGGACCTTATAGGGGCTGCGCAGTGTATATCGTCCTGGGATAAAAGTGAGGTCATCTAAATATTCAATTAGTCAAATGAGTCAAATAAATCAAATCGACAAGCAGGCAAATCAAGTTAAATCAAATTAGAATTTTCTGACTCCAGATTAAATCAAATTCCGAGCCAGATTTGAGTTGATTTATTTATTTGCAAGTCTGCCTGAGCAGGTATCTCTTCAAAAAGAGGTATAAGGCTGTAAATTGCGCCTCCATGATCAGAATGTACGATACAATACGAGACACTATTCAAAACGTAGAGCGAGCAGTGAGCAGCGGGCAGTGAACAGCCATGCCCAGCAGATATTTCCCTATATATGCAAAGGTAGGCATCAAGTTGCCGCCTACAAGCATGTCACTCTATAGGACAGTAAAGGCTTCTTTTACATGTGTCAATTGGGCCTGATGTAGGCTATTGCTTGCAGAGTCTGACGGTCCATGATGGCTGCAGTGGTCCCAATGGTCACTTGTGATTGCAGGACCAGAACAAACTGGCCTAGTGCTTCGTATAAAGATAACGAGGCGAGTGAGGCAAGGGAAGCAGTGTACTGCTTTCCCATGGAGACTGAAGACCAATTTCTAAAACAAACCTCGTTGGGGCCTACTCCAGAAAGTCTATTTACCAGGCCATCTCTGCGCTAGAGGCTGTTCAACGTAGGTATCCTGCCATAGCCTCCATGCCACCATCGAGGTCGGGCTCGGCAGTAACGACTGAGGACCAGCCCGAGTAGTTCAAGCTACTCGTAAAAACCTCATCCATCTCCTTTGTTTTCGGCGATACACGCCACTGACATCAGGGCTCCCGCTGGTCCCCGTACAAAGACTAGGAGACAAAAGTTGTTGGCGCAACGCGCCCGCGGCTGTCGCCGCGAACGCAGGACGCCAGCATCATCGTGATCCCGCTAACGTGTATCGATTCAGACAGACATATGCCATTGGGCGCGACACTGCTACAGATGGAGGATTGATGACAGGAAATGTATTCCAGGGGCAACTGGTGCGCCTAGTTGGGGCCCACTTGGCGGGTACGACTGTACATTGATCCGTAGAAGGCTCAATAGCAACGTCCAAAAGCCTATGCACACACACTAGGGCGCAAACGGACGTAATAGGCAAATCAGAATCAAATCCAAATCAAAAATCAAAATCGACGTTCTAATCGATCGATTGAAGAGCAGAATCGATACGATAACGATCAAGCAAACGCTCCGGTCGATCGATCGATTTCGAAATTGGAGCGATTAATCGAAGCGATCAAATCGATCAGTCGATCGATTTCGAAGCTTGTCATACGCAGCCTCGCCTACTACTCTTGTAGCTCGTGACCACATCATTGTGGCATCATAATGACGACAACACTTTCATGAGCGCTAGTCCTAGCGGGTCACATTCGTTGCACAATACAACTACTGTCCTTCAGCCATACTTGTACGAAGATTGTGCAAATCATAGCTTGATCTAAGCTCTAATCTGGGACCGCAGGAGTGCTATATCGGAACTCCCGTGATTGACATTGCCGCATAACAAATTCGCCCGTTTTATTCCTATACACGGGATACTCGCAAAAATGGCTGAATTCGTCCGCACTGAAATCCTCGGTACAACGTTTGAAATCACTACGAGGTAATACCCAAAGCAACCGCCCCGCTCCACATTGCGGATTTAACAATACTCATTGACATCAAAGATACTCCGACCCGAAGCCTGCAGGCATGGGAAGGTTTGGCATCGTTTGGTAAGCTTGATAGGCCGTTGTCTGCCGCCTCCACGACCCAGTCAGTTAATAGTCTTGAGTTCTTCGGCAACAGCTCTGCTCACGATCAGTTTACCGACCAACGTATTGCTGTGAAGAAGGTTATAAATCCGTTCAGCACACCAGTTCTCGCGAAGCGAACCTATCGAGAGTTCAAACTTCTAAAAGAAATTAAGCATGAAAACGTATGCTACCATTGCAATGCTATCCAAAGAATGCTTAGCAACTATACTTATCTATTGAAAATAGATCGTTTCTCTTGGTGATGCATTCATCTCTCCCCTAGAAGACATGTACATCTCCAAATATTGAAGCAATATTTTATTGACCAATATACTGATCAAATATTAAGTTACTTTATCACAGAGCTTCTAGGAACAGACTTGGATCGACTGATGGCATCGAGACAGCTCGGCAAACAATATATCCAATACTTTTTGTATCAGATCATGGTATAGAACATGACATCCAATCTTATAAATAGTTCTAACAGGAATCACAGAGAGGGCTAAAATATTTGCATTCCGCTGGCGTCATTCATCGTGACCTGAAACCCAGCAACATTCTCGTCAACGAAAATTGCGGGTTGAAGATTTGCGACTTTGGCCTGGCGCGAATTCAAGATGCTGAAATGACTGGTTATGTCTCGACCCGATATTACCGTGCCCCTGAAATCATGCTCACATGGAGAACGTATGATGTTGAGATAGATATTTGGAGCGCAGGCTGCATCTTTGCAGAAATGCTTGAGGGCAAGCCTCTGTTTCCAGGCAAGAATCATGTTGATCAGTTCTACATTATCACCAAGATATTAGGCCCTCTCCCCATTGACGTCATTAATGCCATTACGAGCGAAAATGTGAGTGTTTTCAACGATGCGACATACCTGCTAGCTCATTGCGCAGTATCTTAACAATTCGACATCGCAGGCTCGCAAATACGTAAAGTCCATGCCTACGCACAAACGACAACCACTGAAAAAAAGAATCAAAACTGCCGATAATGCTGGTAAATGTTGCACTAATATATGATAACGTGTGAGTGGGTTTTAACTCATTAATTGCAGCAATTGACTTGCTCGAACGCATACTCGTGTTTGACCACAAGAAACGGATAACAGCCAGCCAAGCCCTTATGCACGAATATCTTACTCCTTACCACGATCCGGCCGATGAGCCAGTTGCTAAAGAGAGATTTGATTGGAGTTTCAGTGACGCTGACCTACCGGTAGACATTTGGAAAATGATGGTGTAGGTTTCCGGGTAGTTCTTGCTATATCGATATTGAAAAGCTCTAACGGTCCACACAGATACTCTGACATTCTCAAATACCACCAAGCGAAATCCGTTGTAGCTGGTATGGGACGTGAGAAAATCAGTCAGAAGCAGAAAGATCGATGAAGCGATCGTCGAATCACGAGCACGCTGATACAGTTAATTAATAATGCGTTTTGCTTCCGATTTGTTGATTGTTACTTTGACATTGTTGCTTCCACCGCCGTCTGTCCGTCACACTGAGAAACAAAGAGTTAACAACAATTCAATACCTGGGGTTTGCTCGCTTTCGACCTAGGCACATTTTTCGCGACATCTTACAGCCTTCAGCGGACGATGCCATCTTGCACGGGGTTCATTCCATAAATTTCTCTAGCTCATCTGCGTCATCATTGTCTGTTTCCGTCACATCAAGCGACCGTGCCAGCTTGTCATATACTGTCATTTCCATCTCTGGAGCATCCTTTGCGGTGGTCTCCATGTACTGGCCCCAGATCTGCCGGGCCTTAGCAATCGCTCCCTCATGCCAACAGTGTTGTAAATAGTGCAGCCGAATATGAGACAATACTGTATTCAATATCGTATTGCACTGCACTGTAAAAAATTACAGTGCAGTGCAGCCGGCTTAAACCGTGCAGTGCAGTGCAAGGTCCTGCGAATATCGTATAATGCTATATTAATATAGTGCAAATACAGTGCAACACGAGTACGAGGTTGCCTGCCATGAGTACACTTTCAGACTGCAATTTCCTTTCCGGACCCCTATCTGTTCTTTACTTGAATATTGTGCCAAGCCGACTGACTTCCTTTATTCCCTTGTAGCATTATGCCCCTGGTCAATGCCTGCCAATGCCCAGAAGAGAATCCGACAATAGCATATACTTTCGAGTGCTAGCTACCAGGATGCCCCCGCTTCACCTATTTCCAGTAACGAGAGAGCCGCAGACCTGATCAAGGGCACAAGGCCCAGAGGCTGCCCGCCCTTACACAGCCGGCTATACCGTTTGATAAGCTCGCAGATGCTCGTTGCAGCCTGCCTACATATGGTCCCGGGTAGTGTCCCGTCGACGGCGATTGGAACTTTTTGCAGAATATATGGTGTCAAGAGACACAGGATGCAAAAGTGATAATAAGTGCTGATTCGGGTCAAAGGTATTAGTAAACACAACCGTTATGCAACATGAGATGAAAGTCAAACACGGTGCTTACTGGACAAAGAGGATCAGAGGCGTGTTGCAATTTCCGCAGCCGCTAGTATATCGAAAGAAGGATTCATACCAGCGCAAGCCTTCATTATATACTCGCACGGCCTGATTGAATGTCACCTTGTGAGGTCTTGACCGTGCCTCATATGTCCATTCCGTCAACTCAAATAGCTTGGCGGCAATGACGCGAGGGCTATCCGGGATCAAATTGAGGTCTTTTCGGTAGAACGCATCGTCTGCAATGCATATGATGGTGAGAGACTGCAGAACACACGGATGGCTGACTGCAGCGAAAAAAGAAGCTCCGTACCTATCAGGGAGTTGGACAGGTCTACCTGAAACCTGGCAGTGGGTATGTAGACCTCTTCTCTGGAGGCTCGAAGTTTACCCACTTTGGTCTCTCTCGCATACTTGTCAAGAGTTCTGTCATAGTCTGAAACGAGGAAAAGTATTCTAAGCCAAAAGACGAAGATGGTGAGCAAAACTATTAGACGCCACACGGTAGAGCAGAGGCCGCTTACCGGTTCAGCGAGACAGCAGCACAATAGATGCTTGCATGTGCCTGTATATCCGGGAAAATTCTACTATCAGGTTTGATCGGCTGCTCTGTGCGCCACTGCTCGATGATGGCAGCGCCAAAGTCGCTGGCGAATCCTCTACCGTCATTTAGCTGATTGCGGCCGAGACAGTACAACGACAGGATACCGAGTGCCTGTATGTCGGCGATGCGGCGTGGAAGACCGATTCCGTTGTATAGCACAGAAATGGCCTCTTCTGTAAAGACTTGCCCGAGGTCTTCTTGTCCAGGATGGGTGCTTGCCGTGGGATTGGCCATGACGCTGACACGGTCTTTGGCCAGAAGAGCAGCCAGCGCAAGGAGCGAATCCACGAGGGCTGTTGAGCAATATGTGCCATAACCGCACTCAAAGTCGCGGTTGAAGTGATTTTTACTGATGGGACAGAACAAAAGGCCGTCCTTAGCGAGGATGACGTCGAGAAGCTGCGGGAGCCGAGACCGGTGGTATTCCAGGTCGGTACGGAGATTCGCCTCCGGGTTAGCAACGTCGGACAGCACGAAACCGCTTGAGGATTCACTGCTGCCTGAGTCCGCCGAAGAAGGTGAACTTTCTAGTATCATATGCGCGGGGCTCATGGGAGATGTAGTCCTGGAAGTGAAAAGTGACGTCATTGAGGTGCCTGCGAAAAGAAGACAAATTGTCAGCGGTCAGAGGCAGCACGTGTAACGGGAGGAACAAGTCAATACGTGTCTAGGACAGATGTGCTCACCTTCTCGGGTTTGTCTCTTTGCAGTGAGTTTCTGCGCTACCAGCGACGCAACTTCTGCACGTGGCTGGCCATCAGAAAGGCGCCGCAATATGTTATGTAACTCGCCCGGGCTTGTTTTTCTTGAAGAAAGGATGTTGAAAAGAGTGTCATTTTGGGAGTTTATCGACTGCAACCGCGCTAGCTGGTCTCGAAGCTCTGTTTTGGAGACACGGGGCGTGACAATATAGACGCAGTCGAGGCCGCCTTCCTCGCAGGCTTTACACGGATTCGAGCCGTCTCCGTCGCACTGGAACGATTCATAAAACGTCAATCGAGCGAAGCAAAAGGAAAATGAAAGAGGCACAAAAAAAAGCAGAAAAACACACCGGGCACCTTACCTTGCGTTTCCTCTGGCGACAGAGCTCACAGGCACGATGCGTTGGGTTTTTCTTCATGGAGGCTGACTGGCGTACCGATTCCGCAATTATTCACGTATTCACGACATCTCATACAGGAAGGGAGAATTGCGCTCAAGAGGAAGAGGGAACGAGCAGCCTGTTATAGGTGCTGAAGCAAGCCCCGGGAGACGAGGCTGTCTCCATCCGGAAATGGTCAGTGTTGCGGGCATCGCCACTGTCCACTTTGTACTTGGGGAAGATGCAACGCGCAGCAAGGTGTGCCACGGCAAAGAAGCCATGCTGGTAGGGTATGAGGTGCGAGAAGCGGAGAGAAGAGGGGAGAAGAGGAGAAACAATAATAAATGCAGGTGCAATATGGGGCTCGCCTCCTCACTGCCCATCAACTGGAATTCTGTGTGTTATAGCATCACACTAAATCACCAATATAAAGTAGATGCTACTATTGATGGCTTGCAGCCTTGGAACAAGGCTTTTGCGCCAGTCCACAATAGCACAATAACAATTACCAAAACCAAGGAGGTTATGTATCCAACGGCAATATGTAGAATTCGGTTTCAATAGCTACCAAATGTCTTATGACGTTCTTCTTTGCATGCTTTCTTCGGTGTGGCTCTGTAAAATCCCGCCCCCTCAGCTTTACTGTCACTTCCGTTGTGAACTCGCAGGCAGCTTTTTGTCTTGCTCTTCTTTTTTTCTTCCGTCCTCCGCATTCTTCAATCCAGAGTCCTTGGGTGATTGGGCGTCGAGGTGTTTTGTTTCTCAAAAGCTAGTTGCAAGGGCTCTCTCCGTTGGGGTTTGCGTCCCATGTCATGTCTATGTCATGTTGCTGAACCCAAGCCCCCCGCCTTTACCCCTTTCGATTGCTTCCGAGTCTCCATCGGGGATCGCAGGCGAGGACACGCACCAATAAAAACTATCATCCCCGCAATTCTTGAACTAGGTACTTGCATTCAGGCATGGGTTCCCTTCAGAAACCAAAAAGTAACTTGGAAGCTCACCAATAGGACTGTTGTCCAACGCGGTGTGTGTCTGAACTGGCGCAGCCGGGGAAAAGGGGGGGTGGGTAAAGGGGGTACTTGAGTTTCGGCAGTGCTAGTTAGAAGAGCTCAGGTGACAAGCAAAGCGCCGCTTGCGGGACCTCGTAACGTAGCCTACCCCCTAGCTGTCCATATCCCCTAGCTGAACAGAGAAAAAGGCTTCCCCATCGACACGACTCAGACCCGCAACTATGGAAAGGTATGAGCGACGACGGCGACAGACGGCCAATCGGTCCCCTATGAAGAGCGGGTCCGTCTTGCTGTTGAAGCTTGCAAGCAAGACTCAGTTGGCGTCCGTAAAGCTGCAGCGGCGTACGACACGTCTCATTCAACAGTGTCTAGTCGCCTCCGCGGCGTTCCACCCCGCCGCGATGCGCAACTAGACAATCGGAGCTTAATGGCAACGGAAGAAGCAACTCTTGTACAATGGATTTTGTCAATGGACGAGCGGGGGATGCCGCCGACCATGGCATACACTCGTCGCATGGCCAACCTACTGCTTGCGGCACGAGACAAAATCCTGTCGGCGAGAACTGGGTACGCAAATTTGTGAAACGCCACAACGAAATCAAGGCTAAATAATCACGCCGTTACGATTACCAACGTGCCAAATGCGAAGACCCGCAGGTGTTGGCAGCATGTTACGATCGGGTTCAGATGATCAAACAAAAGTGGGGGGTTCTTGATGAGGATATCTACAACTTCGATGAAACCGGTTTCCAGATGGAAGTCATTGCAGGCGAGAGACCTTACGAGGTCTGACCGGCGAGGTCGCCCGTGCTCACGCAGCCTGGCAACCGGGAATGGGTTACTGTGATCGAGTCTATCAATTGCCAGGGTTGGGCTCTACCGGCCAAGATGATCTTCGCAGGCAAGCTACACCAGGCAAGCTGGTACGAATCCTGCGTGCCAGATGACTGGCATATTGGCGTCAGTGAGAAAGGCTGGACTTCCCGACGACCTGGGTCTGCAGTGGTTGAAGGAGGTTTTTGATCCAAGCACACGACGGCGTACAGTCGGTACACACCGACTACTCATTCTCGACGGACACGGCAGCCATGTAGCACCGGAATTCGACCAGTACTGCACAGCCAATTCCATTGTCGTCGTCCAAATGCCGACCCATTCCTCGCACCTGTTGCAGCCTTTTGATGTGGGGTGCTTTTCGCCATTAAAAACGATATACGGCCGCAAGGTCCAAGAAAAAATGCTGGCGGGTATCAACCACATCGACAAACATGAGTTCCTTCCCCTGTACTTGGAGGCTCGCCGACAGGCACTCTCGTCGTCGAATATCCGAAGTGGATGTATGGCGACGGGCCTTCGCCCGTTCAATCCAAGTCAGGTATTAACCAAATTACAAGTTCAGGTTGGCAAACGCAATGATAGCAACGGCTGGCAAGGCGATGAGCACACACCTAGTCCACAGAAAGGCCAGTCCGTTTGCAAGACCCCGTACAACATCAATCAGCTTGCTACTCACACCGACGCTCTCCTCCAGCGTTGGCCGCAAATTCAAGATTCGCCAGTTTCACAAGCAATCTACCAACTGATCAAAGGGTGTCAGATGGCCATGCACAGCGCCATCCTACTCGCAGACGAAAACTGTCAATTGCGGTCAGAAAATCAGCGGCAAAACGGAAAAAGGAAGTCCGGCGAGAATATATAGGCGATGAAGGGACTCTTTCAGTAGCTGAGGGCATGGCTAGGGTCAAGCGGCGGCGATAAGAGGAAGATGAGCTAGTCAAACAACGTAAGGAAGTCGCGGAGAAGCGGGCTCAACGACGACGGGAAAAGGAAGAGCGGCTTGCGGAACTTCAGGAAGAAGAAGAGCGAGCGGAGAAACGCCGACAAGAGAACGGGGAATGGTTAAGGGCACGGCGAGAAAGAGAAGAGGAGCACGCAAGGCGAGAGACAGAGAGAGAAGCAGATCAAGCCGGGCAGCAGCGAGAGCAGGAGCTCCATGCTCCGCAAAAGCGTGCACCGGCGAGGTGTAATAAGTGTAGATCATTTGAGCATACTGCCCGTACGTGTAGTGCATAGCTATAATTCTCACCTTCGTATTTGCTACACACAGCCGCATGACATGCGACATCAGCTGCACGCGTCCGGCGCTGAAGATGATGGAGGCGGGAAGAGTTTTGATGAAGCTGACAGGTCTTTGACAACAAGAACTTTCGGGTTTGAAAGCAAACAAACACGCCCAGACCAGCGTGGCAGTCAAGCATTGCGGATCGCCACGAACAGATGGATCCACTCACGCAGAATCATTTCTTGGTGCAGCGAATACCAAAGATGGACTGGATTTTGGATTTGCAAGTCAGTATCATGGCAGAACACACAGTGCTGACATGCCATGCAACATGAATTGTTCTAAAGATACTATGAGCTTCAAACGTGCCCAGACATCTTGTGGAAATTGACAGAGAGTACAAAACTTGTCGACCGCTCATGAGGAAACTCGTCAGCCGCGAGACGCCGCTTGTAGACCCCTCCCCAAACCTTCGATGGCCTTAAACGCATACAGTGTGCTGCTCCCTCGCTGCTTGCCGATTGCTTTTTAGCAGAAAAGAATACTTTTATGTCCGGAAGCACCGACACACCATGTAGGCCGATGCCGCTATATCATGGCAAATTCTTGGCTCGCGCAAGCTCCCCACGCTGCAAGTCATGCATTAGCATGCGTTTTAGCCACGACACGACTTACGGCCACAACACGACTTGTCGCAACGCACGAACTTCGCAATTGGCTACTTCTAATCTGATATAGAGCACATTCCCTGCCAATCATGGAAAAGCCATCTTGTCAACCAAATGGTCTAATGTCTCAGGACTCTGGCGACCACTTACACCCCCCCAGAAAAAAGCACATGACTGAAGCATGACGTATTTGATCGTCGTTCATTCCATCCCAATGACGTCGCCTTTGATCGACGTCTGTATGATGTAGCTGATGCTAGTCCAGGGCGGACTACTAATCTTTATATACGATATGGAGAACTCGCGACGCTATTGCACCTGTCATACACAATTCTCATTCATTCTGTCGCTTCATAGACTATACTTGCCAAGTAAACCATAAAGCGATGCCCTCGTCAACTAAAGACAAGAATTCACAGCCAATTAAGCAGGGAGACCATGTTTTTACGCCCATCCGAGGAGGGCGTCGTGAGGGCGACGTGGAGGAGATCATACGTACCAAAGAGGAGGCTGAAGAAGCAGAAGTCAAGAATCCTCCGAAGGTAAACAGACCCTCGGAATGGTTGTGAAGCGAGAACAATACGCAGCTGAATTACTAATGATGCTGGGCTGTGCATAGGTTACTTTTACAGACCAGCATGGACACAGGGTTGCCCACAACCCGGAATCATTGAGCCATAAGAATAGAAAAGATTAGCTCAGTTAATATTCGGAGTAATGTTGAAAGTTTAGCATAATAATTCCTCATTCTACCATGAGTTTTTTATTATACCACGCGTTTTTTCACAGTAATTCCGTTTTATGGCGGTAACGTGTAGGCGACGTGTAAGCGACATATTGTACACATCACCGACGCAACGCGTAACGGATCGACGGAGAACTTCGAAAGACCGCTAGTCCCTATTGTAAGAGTTTCGCAACTCTGATCTTGGGCGCCCAATCATCCCTTTGCTGCGTAGAATCTTCCATATTGGCCTACTCGAAGACGTGACTGGAACGCAGCAAGAGCCAGGGCAGACGGAGAGACGCACAGGTGGACACAGGCAAGCAAGGGACTGCAAGAGTGGCTTCGCAGAGGCAATCGTGCGGACGGATAACGGAAACAGCACGTTCATTTGCGTGAGTATCAAAAGGTTCACGACAGATGGCGGGATTGCCCTTGGCGGCTCACTTATATAACGATTCGGTGTATTCAATAGCAACCCCTGATATTCTTTCGATCAGGGCAAAACTGATGTGAGAAACTATATTTTCTCCATATGCTCTGTGCGCCACCTTCCGCCAGTTCTCGGCTCCTCTACATGCTGCCAAGAGGCTGGCCGACCACTCGAAGCGCCGATGTAGGTGTTCGTTACAGTGCTTGGTCGGAGGGCGCTACCTTGATGTGGTGGAGATAGCCGTTCATCCTTGCCATGTCTGTCCTTAACTGAGCAATCGTTGAGCGCTCCCTCCATGACCATTCCCCGTAAATCTCACGTGTGTGGCTCTCAGGCAGCGCCAGTCAATTATCTTGGAGAATTGTCCGACTCCTTCAGGTATGCACCGTTCACCTCTGAGTTTCATTGTTCGTTGTTCAGCGGCGTGGTATTCATCATTGGAACGGAGTCTTGGATACTGCGCCTTGCTGCGTTGCAGCATTTGCTTGTCTCTTGGCCGCTTGCAACAGTTTGATCTTGTCTGGCGTTCCCCATCCTATGGCCACAGTGTTTTCTTTGCCGACCAGCTCATTTACGGAATCATAAATACACATGATAAAATCTTGTCCTGATTGCTGATAGGGTCGACCCAGGGCCGTATCTGTTGCATCGCCGAGAATGAGACTGGGAGAGTAGGCATGGGTTGCTCACAAAACGATGTTGCAGGAAAGCCTAGCGGAAAAGTCCTCTGAGCTGCCGGTCGCAACAGTGCCATGATGTTACGAAAGATTTTATCCCTTATTAGCCTGGTGCACATAGCTGTGGCTGATTCCCTTTTCGAAGCGTACAGCACCGTGACCACAACTCATCGCATCATCCGCCAATATCGCAACTCGACTTCTTCGGCTGGCTCGGACACAACAATACGGGAACTCACACTGTCTATACCTACGAAGACCAGACAAACCACTGATCATAAGTCGACCTCAGAGCTATTGCCTACTGTATTAGATGTCGACACTCGAGTGACTGTTGAACCTTCGTCCTCGGTTGCGATGGTACCAACGGCCGATCAATCTCCAGATTCGACCTCATCGGGAAAGAGCAAAGACGAGTCGGCAAAGCCCGATGATCCCGTCTTTACGCCTGAAGTATCTTTGGACTCGGCCTCTCAAACGGCAAATAGCCCGACTACGGTCACCGAAAGCTCTTTCGCAAAGCAAACCGAGCCGGCCTTGTCCGCCTCTAATTCCTCACCTACCAGACCCGCCTTTATTCCTCACCTGCAACACCGACCAACACGAACAGATCACCGATAACAGGCATTCCCACAACCACTGAAGATCCGGAGACAGGCCAGCCTCTCATACCCTCCTCAAGCTCGGCTCTGGCCAGTACGAGCATACCGCTATCACCAAGTTCCGAAACATTGTCTGCGCCGACGAAGACCACACAGACCCTGATTATACGTCGATCTCGGGGGCATGGCCTACTTCGTTGAGCATCGGCATCCGGGTGACTGTTGAGCCTACGTCCACCATCGCTCTGTCGCCAACGCCCGACCAATCTTAAGGTTCGAACACGTCGGAGGCCACCAAAACGGAGTCAGCAACACCCGGCTATTCTGTCTCTACCCCCAGAGTATCTTTGGATTCAACCTCTCGAACCGCAGGCAGTCCGCCTACGATAAATGAAGACCCTTTCACTATGCAAATCGAGTCTACGTTACCCGCCCCTGCTGTTTCCTCACCCGCAACTCCAGTCAGCACGAACAGATCACCGCCACCAGGCATCTTCACTATCACTTGAAGCTCGAGGGACAAGCCGGTCTCTTGTGCCCACCTCAAGCTTGGCCCTGGCCAGCACGAGCAGGCCAATATCGCCAAACTCCACTATCACCACCGAAGGTGCAGACAGCGCTCCTAATAGTCCAAAAAGTCGGTCTGGACACCTCAGACTGGACTGTTAGTCGGTCCCTCATCGACAGACTAGACTATTCGCTGGTCCGTCATTGACAGACTGGACCGATGGTCTGTCCGTTATCGTCAGACCAGACTGCTGGTCCGTCTATCATTGCCAGACTGGACTGTCGGTCCGTCCGTCATCGTCAGACCGGACTGCAGTCCAGACTGCAGTCTGGACTATTAGTCTATAACATAATATACAACTTGCTGCATTTTACTATCTACCTCTAAGTCATCCTATGGCATCTCAACTGTGTCTGATCCCCCACTGCTCTCGTCGCGCTTCTGTGCACCAGAGGGGTTAGACCCAGCAGCCGCATCGACATAGCGACACTGGAATCTATCGGATGGGGCTATCAAGGCGCTGCTGTCCCACGACCGTAGACATTCCACGAGATTCAAGGTTTCAGCATCCATAGCTCCTCGCTGGTCGGTTACGGTACGTTTTGATTTCGAGAAGAGTCGCTCTGTCCCAGAAGACATAGCTGCAATGGAAAGAATGTCAATGGCCATCAAAGACAAGCTAGGGAATCGTTTTCGCGTCATCGTCCATGTTGAAAATTGTCGCCTTCTGCTCGTTCATCCACATTTTGTACCCATTTAGCCGCCTCGTAGTTGGCTCCTCTGCTGAGCCTGGTCGAAGAACCGGCAAGGAAGAGGTTGATTTGTACGAGTCCCTCCACAGCTGCGCCACCCGGGATTTAGCTCTCTCAATCCATTCCGCCTTGTCTTCCCAAGTCTTCTCCATGTATGCCCACTTGAAAGAGGGATTTAAAACTGTGGCTGCTGAATAGACAGGCGAATCTTCTGTCAATTCATAGTAGTCGGCTAGTTTGGCCCAGGCAGTCTCCATCATCGTGGCCAAGTGGGGGATGGCCGTGGCATCCCTGGCGGCCTCGATGTGGTGTAGCAGATAATCCATGGTAGGAAGAACGTCGGCGATGGAATTCTGAACGCCCTCGTTGGCCATTGTCGCATCGTGAAATGGTTCCAGAAATTTGTGAATCTCGGCCAAAGTTACCCAATCAGACGGTGCCAGGGCATCCTCTTGTAGAGCAGCCTCTTGCGCGCAGAATACGGTGATAGCTTGCCTGACTCCAGGCCTCAGAGCCCTTTCAACCATTTGGTACCATGAATTCCAGCGAGTGTCGTTGTCACGCCGTAGCCTGAGACCGTCGGTGAGAGCAGTCAACGTTTGAAGTCTCTGGGGTGTCCAAGTGATATAAACCACGATATTATGAAGCTTGCCAATTGCCCCTCGCTTTCTCCATTCCTCAATCTCCTCTACGGTCGGGCCCCGATAGGAGCCTGTCGTGGGTGGCCGTTTTCCTATGAGAAATTCCATCACGGCCAGGTTTATGATGTGGCCGGTACAGCGAAGCCGGTGAGGAAGAGGGTCGTAGAAAACATCAAACTCTCGCTCCAGGTCGTCAGAGATTTTGTCAATCATGGTGTTCATGTTGCTAGCATAGTCCATCATGAAATAGCCAACTTTTGTGGCGATTCCGTATTCTCGTACGAACTCCATGATAGCTTCGGCCATGTGCTCGCCGCTGTGTTCTCCTTCCAGCTCCTTGATCCTCACCACAAGGGATTGTAAACCGTGATCTTCAGTTACGAATTGAACTGTGAAACCAATGACCCCCAGCCCATTTGGCGAAGTCCAATTATCCGGAATGAAGTGGATCGAGGAAAGGGCATTTTGCAAAGCTCTCCTTACAAACTCTTTCTTGTTGTCATAGCCCCATTGTAAGTCGGTTTTAACAGTATCACCAGACCTTGGAAGGAGATCATCGGCAGCCGGACGAAGATAGCGAATGAAGTCACGAAAGGCCGGATGTTCGACCTGAGCAAAAGGGAGACTGCAAGCTACCGTGTAACGGCAGTATAATTCGCGCAGAGTGGCTTGGTCAAGCGCACCTTCCTCTGCTGTCACCTTGCGCCTCTTGGTAGAGGTAAGGGCATCGTTGCTCAAGAAGGAACTGATGTCTCCAAGGCGGTTTTCTGTCGCTTCCCGGTGAATGGCTTGCCTAGTAGAGATCACAATTCCATGCTGTTTGCGCAGATGATCGATGACAGTGGACGATCCACCAGAGCAGTTGTACTTCTTGTCTCTTTTTTTCCTCTCGAAGCAGGGTCGGCAATGCCACCATTTCCTTCCATTGGAATCGACCCAGGCAGCCGGAATCTTTCTGCCCTCCTCTAGTCGACAATATTGCCAGATGGGGGATGTCTTGTGGCGGGAGGCGCTAGCATTGGAAGATGAGGAAGCTGTCAAAGAAGAAGTGGCTAAGTTAAGGTCAGAATCATCCAGATGGCTACCGCAGCCAGAAGCAATACCCGAGAGATCGCCGATGGAAGACATGATTTCTGTTGTAAGTTTGACAGTAAATTCTGGCTGTAAGGTTACACATGTTCGATTCCATCAATGGTGACGGGGCCCAAATATATGCCAATGAAAAAAAACATCCTCATACCATTGCATGGACAGATGTATTTACATCCAACTGTGTAGGTTGCACGGAAGATCTCTCGCACTTTTTCTCTGAGCCAATTAAAGTCTCACCACTAACAAGAGATGGGAATCGCTAAGCCTAATAGGGCTAGCATATTTCTGATGGCGTTAGGGGCCGGTTAATGGTCTGGACTATTACCGTGCCACGGTGCAGAGCAGACCAAGCCGCACGTGCACGCCTCAGTTTCCCCAATTTCAACACTGGAAGATGTGAGTATACCAGGATCATTGATCGCCGCTACATCGACTGGACATCCAAAGACGACAAGGTCGCTCCTGCCTCATCATTTTCGACCCCAGCCCATACGAGCAGCCTACAGACACCAGTTTCCACTCCAGTCACGTTCGAAACAGCCAGCGAGCCCAGGTACTCTCCGCGAATATGGCTGCACTTGATAGATCCTACTAACGCATTATCAGTTCAAACCAATACCGCATTCTCTAATTCTACACCACCTGCGATAGACCAACAGGCCACTGCATCATTACGCCATTCAGGATCTTCATCACAGTCCCCGTCAGAATCAGCGTCAGAACCACAAGTATCAGTGCTGCGGCAGACGTTTTCGCGAACAAAGCTCATACGTTGCAAATAGACGACACGCCAACCATGGGGCCGGAGCCCACGCGCAACGCGACGGCAGCTGAGTCTCCCGACGCTCGCATCTCGACCACATCGGAGGATACAACCCTCAACCACTCTGCCACTATAGATACAGCAAATGAGCCGACTGCCAATTCTCCCTTGCCTAGTCAGCTCACCACTCAGGCAGGTTCTCCAACACTTCCCAGGGCTACTCATAGCACAGGCGTTTCTAGGACTGGCTTCACACCAACGACATTTTTGCGAACAGTGGAGGCCAACAGACAGTCAAACAAAAAATTACGATAGCTGGTGCTGCTATTGGTGCCGTTAGCGGTAGCGCGCTGCTAGGTACGGCGTCATTCATGGTCTACTCTCGGTATAATACTGTCACGTTATGTGAGGCAGTTAGCTGTCATTAATTCTGTTATTATTCAAAAGCTTGTCCTTTCTCTCCTAGATGGGCTCATGTCATTTATCTTGGTTCCGAGGAAGACGTCCCAGCCACCTGACGAAGTCAGGGAGGCTGGCCAGCCTTCCAAACTCTAATATCCATGAGTTTATGACATCCAGCAACTACGTCAAGACTGCTTGTCTTTCAACAGAGGCAGAGTTATCCGACAAATAGAAGCCGGCGCTACCGCAGGGCTAGTGGGACGAGTAGCAGCCAGAGTTCTCTGGAGATACGGTGCGCTGGGTTGTCAGACGAAAGACTAGTGCACAGAAATCACATGTAAATCTCCTCCGCTTTCATTCCTTTCTCCTCTCCTTTGATGCTTATTCCACCTCTTTCCGTTCTCACAAGCGTCGGGAAGCGAAGGTACAGCGAAGCATGGCAGAGTATAACTGAGCATGGAAGCAGATTTAAGAGCAGAAATAGTGTAGTTTTGTTTATTAATTTTGATCCCCTTGCAAATCATGACAGTATTGCAATTGAGTTTTCTATGTGCCTAGCAATGCATTGCATTGCTGCCCAACTTCGACGACCATCGGACCAAAAATGCCTCTGGACAAATATCGGCAGGCTTTCTATCCATACGCGTATGGATTAATTAATCCATATGGAAAATTCCATACTCCATATTCCATATTCGATATGACTGGTTCCTATTCCATAGGTATTCCATACGGCTGCGGAGAATTGATAATCCTTCCGCGAGCTGCGTTATAGGGGATTCGAAATGGTTGTTCGACAGCGGCAGCATTCATCCTTCCTCAGCGACTGCCATGTCATCGCCAACGTCTGGCGCGTCAGTGGATCCTTGTTAGCTTCCAGTGTGCGCCAGCGATCTGCCTCTGTGTTCCACCATTGACAGTGGACCTCAGCTTGCCATCTCTTCCAGCGACCGCCCATCACGAAAGACGACTGCGAACACCTGGGCCCACGCTCGCGACCCTGCTGGCTCAGAACCCAGCCGCTGCGGTCGCAAAAATGAAAAGATCTACTATTGCAGGCATTGCATGGACCCACCATACTTCACAAGCGTCTCGACGACCCTCCGAAACCATCTGTTGAAGATTCACAGCATCGAGCTAGAGGCACCAGAGCATCCTGTCAAGCGACAGCGATCGCCTTATTCAGGACGTCTTTGCCAAAACTGGAGAGATACACGCGGCGAAGCAGCTGTTAGGACAAGAGGACGCGTTAAGAAGCGCCGTCAACCTCAAGGCGGCGCGTGAGGCACCACTCCAGGTAGTCACCGTCCGCAACCTCTCTTATAACTGCAGCTCGTGGCCGGAGTTGCATGCGCTCATTTCTGCAATCAATCCTGCAGCTGATGGTGTCATTATTCTGTCAAATGGCTCTCTACAGCAACTCGTCGCGGATTCCTACAGCATTCACAAAGACATCCTGCGGAGAAAGTTGCAGTCGACGCCATAAAAGCTGCATCTTTCCGCAGATGTTTGGTCCGCTCCGAACCATAGAGCGTCCCTCGGAATTTGCGTGAGATTTGTTGACGGAGGTACGAAGAAGGCCTTACAAGCGCTGCTGGCTTTACCGGAGCTACCTGGACTGGACGGCCCCAGCAGTCATGGCAGCGCGGAACAATGGAAGATTCCGCGGCGTGTGATTGCAGACTACAACATCTGGTACAAGATTGGTTTCTACACTGGCGATAACCATGGCTCAAACGACAAGCTATGCCGCTTTCTGGGTGAACATCTTCAAGGTAAACGCATCGCTTGGGACACCAGGACGCAGCGAATCCGTTGCCATGGCCATATTCTCAACCTCGCTGTACAAGTCTTCCTGTTCATGGATTCCAAAGAAGCGAGCCTACACTAAAAAGACAGGAAAAGTATTACGTAATACTTTCAATCAAGCCGATGGCAATGTTGTTTTACGGCATCTACTTCGGAAAATATTTCGTGGGGGCTTGTAAACTGAAGAAAAACAATTTCTGTATTGCCATTTGAACCAAAATGGAGCCACTGTTGTTTTGTAGTAGCAGGTCAGGAATATCTAGGCTTAAGATGGATGACAGATAACCCTGAATAGATGCAGAACCAGTGATAAGTGGTCATGGTTGTGTCCGCAAAACCGAGCAGGTAAACATATAACCTCCCGACTCGCCACTGTCCAGTAACAGGTGCGGGTTTCAAACACAGGCCGAACTGGTAACTTATGAATCAATCTTTGGTGTGCTTGCCTGACGGCGTAGCCAGAACGACGCGAAAAGATGGTCAGAGACCGTGTTTCTGCACATTTGAAGCCCTACAAAGACTGAAATATGAATATGCATACCGGAAGGGTAGACTAAGAGACCTCGCTTCGCGTCAAAGCAACCGGCGGCCCTCTGGAAGGTTTGCCGAGGCGTCCGCTGATGCGGTGAATCAGCTGCATCTTGTGGGACTAATCCTTTCGCAGCTGGCGAAACAAGAAAATACGCTGCTTTCCCAGCCTGAGGCTAAGGCTGACCTGAAAAAAAAAAGAGAAGATGAAATTAGAAACGGCAGAAATTCTACGAACTATTCTATGAAGTGGGTTGTGTGATCACTCCGGTTAGGAGGTCTAGTTAGTTCCACCTTACACCGTGCTGAGGCAGCGCCTCGCCAAGTGTCCGACACACTCTTTCGGCAGCCCAGAGGCGTCCTAGATACCATAAACCAAACGATACTCCGAAATCCCTGACAACGGCTTACTATTGTTCTATACCATCCTCACCCATACCTAGGAAACTCATTGAATATCAATAAAGTTGTTTCACAACTTGCCAAACCGCCTCACAAGTCTGTCATCATCACCACGTCTTCACAAGTAGCTGCGCCTAACACACACCCACTCCACATATCTAGTAGCAGTCGCCACCATCTATCAGTCTCAACACTCAACACCGCACAAATTCAAATAAATTACATCATTTAGACCCCCGAAATTTCTCAGAGTGTAAGCAGAACATTACATACCAAGTAGGCTAGTAGGCTACTGCCGTATTCTCTTATTCTCACCAACCTGACATGGAAATTCGGGCTGCGGCATCGAGGCTACAGTGGCTCTATAGTGAATCCAGTAGACTGCCGCATCTGTGGCGCGTTGTCGTAGTTCGTCTCCAGTAAAAGACAGGCTGAAGATCCATTATCGCCTCGCACTATCGACGGCATTTGTGCATTCTGGCCTAGTAGAATTATACGATGGTTTACTAATGAAACAATGCCTTTCCAGAGTGAGGTCGCCTTGCAGCAGCTCTATGTGAGGCTAGTTCGAGGCATCTTCGAGGTGGCAGCAAGTATTTGATCCTAGCCTAGATTGGACGCCAAAGCACTGCCGCTTTAGATAAGGTAAGACAGTCCAATAGCCAATCCACTGTAACCTATCGCAAAGTCAGGCCAATGCAGACGTTAACAAAAGCAGCGGTGTATTTACTTCCTATTTGAGCTAGTTGCAAGCAGATGCTGGTACCTGGAAGAAATACTTGCTGCCCCCTAACTGGTTAGGCGGGGAGACCATAGGGAAGCATTTCTCAGGCCACGACGCCTCGGTAGCACTCTGGGCACATTCGTAGGCTTGCGCTGGCCCCCCTTGGCCTCATTGGAGCAACGAAGCAATGTGTTCTGCGTGGTATTCAGACAATGCACACCTGGTGCCTCGTTACATATTTGGAAGAGGAATTTCCTAGTACACTACGGCAAAATGTTTCCCAGACAGGCTGGGCTGCGTGGTGCGTGTCGCCGCCATGCTCAAAAAGTCGGCCTCTTGCTGCCCAAGCTGAATGACTGACGTGGCCGTGCATGCCGCAAGAGCTTGGTATTGGCTCACGGTTGGTGCTGATGCTTGGGCGCCCCTGACACATGTTCTTTCCGTTGCCTAGCACAAGGCATGGTAGAAGAGACCGACCTATCATCGCCACCAGCACAACGGTGCCTCAGCCGCCTACAAAGCACCTTGAGAACCATGCGGATTTTCACCACCGCTCAATTCTATGTTAACAATTGGTATCATTGAAGCTATTTTAGTCACTGAAGCAATGGAAGGGCTTTGTCTGTCAGCCAGCTTGAGCATCACATCAAATAGTGGTCCAAGCAGAATGAGGACAGGGATATCGTGTACCACGTCAGTTACAGCACAGAATTAATAACTTTGGAGAACTAACCTTGAACAACCTACAGAAATTACTCCAAAGTCTGAAGAATGCGAACGACGAGATTGACCATCTCAAGATGAACCTTGAATCCGAGACGATGTCTAGACGTCAATACCAAATTAAGAATCACGATATTGAAGCTAAGAATAAGGACTATGAAAAGAAGGCGGTAACTAAGCCCTTTTACCCTTTTGAATACGTCGACTCTCCTAACAAGTGATCGCTGCAAAGGCGAGGAATCCGTATGTAATTGTACTTGTCGACGGCGACGGAGCCAATTTCCAAGACAGTCTGATGGGAGATACCGAGACTGGTGGATCCAGGGCGGCATATAGACTTAAAAAGCAGGTCGACGAGAATCTGCGTGAAACACCAATCGCAAATAGTGTGGAGGTCTTTGCCAGGGTGTACGCAAACTTTCGAGGCCTTAGCAAGGTCTTGCGCCAGTCGGGCCTGGTTCGCTACAGCGACGATATGCAGAGGTTTGCTAGAGGTTTCACAAACACTAGGCCCGGATTTGACTTTATCGACGTTGACTATGGCAAAGAAAATGCCGACTCCAAGATAAGACGTGAGCGCGTGAGAGTGCATTCTTTGCTGGACTGAGACTAACCTTGATACTCAGATTTACTGAAATGGCACTACATGGACGAACGCTGCAAGAAGATATTCCTGGTCGCTTGCCATGATGCTGGTTACGTGCATGAGTTGCGCCCGCTTCTCGATGAAAATAGCGACCGCGTGGTCCTTGTTGAAACAACGCCAGCAGAGCCGGCATTCAAAAGTTTGGGGCTTACTATAACGCACTTCGACGACGTCTTCCGCGATGCGCCACTCGAACCCAAGAATTCTTTGAACACACCGTCATCGCCTGTGCACAGCGTACCAAATCATGCCCTTGAGGCAACACCCCCTAAAACTTCCGCCATGGTCGAGCCTCAGCCTGAGCAGCGTGGACATGCGGAACAGGGACCTGATAGCTACGCTACAGTCTGTGGCGACAACGGAGATCGGAATATTGTTATTAGCAAAGGCAGAAAAAAAAACGAAAACCCGCTGTAATTAACCTAAACGAAGCCGACAACCGCATCGATTCGTCAATCCAGGATGTCTCCAGCCGCGAGACTAAGGCCTCGTTCAGTAAGAAATTGGCACAGGCAAAGAGAGGTGCATTTTGCAACAAGCACTACCTGGAAGGCGGATACGAGTGGGGGACCAATTGCAACAT